ACGGCCCAAGAGGCGCCCAAGATGGCCCAAGAGGGCCCCAAGACGGGCCCAAGAGGGGGCCCAGAGGGGGACCACGAACCGCAAGCTCGAGCCTTCCGCCCCAAGAGGCCGCCAGGAGGCCCCCAGGAGGCCCCTCAAGAGGCCCCAGGAGACCCCCAAGAGGCCCAAAGGAGGCCCAAGGACAGCCCAAGAGGGCCCCAAGACGGCCCAAGAGGCGCCCAAGATGGCCCAAGAGGGCCCCAAGACGTGTGTGTATGTGTGTATGCATGCATGCATGCATGCATGCATGCATGCATGCATGCATGCATGCATGTATGTATGTATGTATGTATGTATGTATGTATGTATGTATGTATGTATGTATGTATGCATATATGTATGTATGTATGTATGTATGTATGCATGCATGCATGCATATGTATGTATGTGTGTGTGTATGTATGCATGTATGTATGTATGTATGTATGTATGTATGTATGTATGTGTGTGTATGTATGTATGTATGTATATGTGTACGTATGTACGTATGTACGTATGTGTATGTATGTGTGAATGTGTATGTATGTGTATGTGTATGTATGTATGTATGTATGTGTGCATGTATGCATGTGTATGCATGTATGTATGGGTGGATGGATACATGTATGTATGCATGCATGTGGGTATGTGCGTATGTGTGTATGTGTATGTATTTATGTATGAATGCATGCATGCATGCATGCATGTATGTATGTATGTATGCATGCATGCATGCATGCATGCATGCATGTGTGTGCGCATGTATGTATGTATGCAACTGTATAGTTGTGTGTGTGTTTGTATGTATGTATACAGGTATGTGTATGCATGTATGCATGTATGCATTTATGTATGTATGTATGTATGAATGTATGGATGTATGGATGTATGGATGTATGGATGTATGGATGTATGTATGTGTATGTATGTATGTATGTATGTATGTATGTATGCATGCATGCATGCATGCATGCATGCATGCATGTATGTATGTATGTATGTATGTATGTATGTATGTATGTATGTAATTATGTATCTATATATAGTTGAGAATGTGCATATGCTATAGATGTATGTAAATATTGATGTATCGATGTATAGAAGTGTATACGTATATGCCAATATGTACGTCCCCCCTTCACTCTCCTCCGCATGCTTCTGTCCCCGCCCCTATCTTGTCATTACTGCGTGATGATGTTGTATACGTCTGGGAGCTCATGCGCACTGCGAGTTCTTCAACATGTCGGTTTGTAGCGGGCTGTCCTACATATGTGCTCCACATGTTTAGACAGGGCTGTGTACGTCACCGGCTAATTTGCTGTCCTGTGAGTCGCGCATCGCGCAAGCTTCCCATGTAACTTGCGCAGCCAATGACAGATCCTCGGTTGTCATGGGCCTTAACGGTTCTAGACCAGCTCCTCTTGTCACTCAAAGCAGGTGGGCCCGGCGTGTCGCAGGGTAATTTCTGCGCGGGCCCACGCGGGCACCCTGTCCACTGTGTTTCCTTCCTTTCGTGTTTCCAGCCTACCAGTGTGAGGTCGCGCCGTCCCAGCTCGACCAGTAACGACACCCCATTCATACTTGTCAAATGATGCCACGCGCGCAGTTTACCCCATTGTGCAAGGATCCCTTGCAAACGTATACAAAACGTCCACACGTGCTCACATGCCAAAATCATGCTAGAACACATCGGTGGTGCAAGAACTTAGATTTAAACACAACAATTAGCTTTATGTTGTTCACGCCAGCAGCAGCAGGCCCCCAGCACCATCGCAGGGTAGCTGGCCGCCGCAGGCGCAAACGGCTGCGGACCTTGACCCGAAGGGGAAGCATGGGAGGGAGGGAGGGGAGGGAGGGAAGGAAGAGAGGGGTGGGAGGGAGGAGGTGGCGGGGGGAGACTGGGAGGGGCAGGGAGGACCACCATTCTTCCAGCGTTGCGTGCGTTTCGCAAGAGGTGGGGAGACAGGGGAGGAGGGAGGGGCGAGGGACGAGGGGGCAGGAAGGGGAGGGAGAAAGCGGTTGGGAAGGGGAGAGGGGGGGGGCAAGCTAGGTGTGCAAGCATCTTATCTGACGTCCTACCCCTCCCTCCCATCCTTTACCATGGCGTAGATATCCTCTCCATTCGCGCAGTCGAATATCGTAGCATGGCGCAGCATTGCATGGCATAACATGGCGTGGAAGATCAACGCGTAGCATGACGTAGCATGGCGTGGCACTGCGTAGAGAAGTACGACATGTCAGAGCACTGCAACTGAAGGGATGGCATCGCAGAGCGGAACACACCATAGCATTGCATTGCATGCCAGAGCATGGCACTTGAAATGAGAGCAGCGCTGCAGCGGTGGCACGATTCGGAACGAGCGGAAGCGCGGAAATGAGGTCAACGCTGCAGCGGGAGCACGATTCGGAATGAGCGGAAGCGCGGAAATGAGGTCAACGTTGCAGCGGGAGCACGACGCGGGGAGCACCATTTTGAAGGACCGAAGATGATCGGATTGTCAAAAACACATCAGAAACCAAATTCCCAGCAATCTTGTGCGTAAGAAAGCAGAAAGTGGAGGGGTGCCGGCCATCTGCTGCACAGACTCAGGGGAGAGAGTGGTATTCATATTGTGCAATTATGACGGGAGGTGAGGGAGGCAGGAGAGGAGGGAGGGAGGGATGAGGGGAGGGGGGAATGCATGAGAAGGCAGGAAGTGGAGGGGAGGGGAGATGTCATGGATGGGGGAGGGGAGGGGAGACGCGCGCCGTTTCGGACGAGGGTTCGCCCAGGCCCCGAGGCATCAGGCGCCCTGGATCTTTCCACAAGGCGCGAGGCGCCGCGTGCGAACAGGGGCAAGGGCACCCTCGCCCCTGACGCGGTCCGCGTGGACCCCGACTAAAGAAAAGCGGGTCTGCGACGATCAGAGCAGTCAAAGGCCCGTCTACTCACCCGCGGCAAAAGGCACCGTCGTCACACGCGCGCCGGCATGCGCGATACGGCGCCAGCGTAAGAGAAGGCACCATCTTGAGGCATCTCCGCCTTGGCCCAGCGCATAGAGCTACGAAAAAACGGCCAAAAGTTCGTGCTGCATTCATAAAGGGAAGCAGTATCAGTGCGCTGCTGGTGAGCATCTAGACGCGCTTGGTCGCTCGCCTGGGGAGGCCCCGGGGCGAGCGGACGAGCGGAAGGGCGATTCGGGCGGTCTGTGCTCTTCGCGCGTCAGGGTCGAGCTGGTGCTCGCCGCCGTGCTGGTCGAAGCTCACATCCCACCCTCCAGTGGGCCAATGCGGGTCGTGAAAAGAGGGCGAAGCTCGCATCCCACCTCTATTGGGCCAATGCAGCTCGTGGAAGAGGCAGATGCACGAATCCCACCCCCTGTGGGCCATTGCGGATCGCTGAAGCAAGCAAGCAAGCAAGCAAGAAGGCCTTGCATCCTGAAGGACGCGTGGGCTGGCAAGGACATTCATGGTTCCTGCCGTGATTCTCTGCGACAGACAATCGACGCCAGCGCGGATTGGACTAAACAGCCCGAGAGGAGGAGGAGGAGGAGGAGGAGGAGGAGGAGGAGGAGGAGGAACCACTGCGGATCGCTGAAACAATGGGCCACATATTCAGTACCACTCGAAGCAATATTCGGGGCGGTACTCGCCCCAGTCATGGTCCTCAGGGTCGATTTGTTGCTCCCGGTCGCGCAGTTCAGCGACGGGCAGCTGGCGCCCGTCGCGGTGGTCAGCGACATGGCAATCGCGACAGTGCTCCTCCCACTCGTGGGCTCGGGGGTCGAGCTGGTGCCCCCAGTCGCGCTGCTCAGCGGCGCGCTGCTGCTACCCACCGCGGTTGTCAGTAACGTGCAGCTCAGCGTCGAGATGCCAGTGCCGGTCGCATAGTTTGGCGACGCGGTGCCAACGTCGAGGTGTTAGTTCCCGTCGGGTTGCCCCGCGGCGCGGCATCCGACGCAGTAGATGTTCCACATGGGCGTCGGGGGCGAGCTACTGTTCCCACCCGTGCAATTCAATGATTTGCTGGTGGTGCCTGCCGCGATGGCCAGCGACATGGTACTTGGGGCAGTGCCTGTCCCCCCCGTGGGCGGCAGGGTAAACCTATTGCTCTCCAGCGCGCTGCTGGTCTGCGTCGAGATGGCAGCGTCCGTCGCGCTGCTCAGCGACGCGGCGCTCGCACCAGCGCCCGCCCCGCTGGTGCACGTCAGGGCGCTGGTGCCCCCAGTCGCGCTGCTGGCCGCTGCGCTGCCGCCGCCGCCGCCGTCGCGGTCAGCGACGCGCTGCTCGGCGTCGTGATGCTAGCGCCCGTCGCGCAGCTTAGCGACGCGGCACTCGAGTCAGCGCTCGCCCCGCTGGCGCATGTCAGGTCAATTTGGCGCCCGCCGCCGCGCTGCTCAACGGCGCGCTGCTGGCGCCCGTCGCAATGATCAGCGACGTGGCGCGCGAGGTTGGCGCCCGTCAGGGTCGAGCAGGCGCACTCCGACGCGCTGCGCAGCGGCGCTCTGCTGGCGCCCGTCGCGTTGCTCGGCGGCGCGGCGCTCGAGGCAGCGCTCGCCCCGTTGGCGCCCGCCAGGGTCGAGCTGGCGCTCTCCGCCGCTTTGGTCGAAGCTCGCGCGCCGCCCCCCCCCGCGAGCCCACGCGGCTCGCGGAAATCAGCATCCCGCCCCTCACGGGGCCAATGCGGCTCGCCAGAACAGGCGGACGCGCGCGCCCCGCACCCTGCGGGCCAGCGCGAATCGCGGGGGCCTGGAAAACCAGGGGCCCCCCCAGACGGGAGGCCAGGGAAAACCAGGGGGCCCAGACCAAGCAGACCAGCCATTGATGTCTCTCAATGATGCGCCGCTGGCGCTCGCCCCGCTCGTGGATATCAGGGTAGACCTGCTGCTCTCCCACGCGGCGCTCGCGGCAGCGCCCGCCCCGCTGGATCGCGCCCGGCGCTGGCGCGCCCGGTCGCGCCGCTGAGCGCTGCGCTGCTGGCGCCCGCCGCGGCGGTCAGTGAGGCGCCGCTCAGCGTCAAGATGACAGCGCCCGTCGCGCAGCTCAGCGACGTGGCGCTCGAGGGAGCGCTCGCCCCGCTGGCGCGCGCCAGGGTCGAGCTGGCGCTCGCCGCCGCGCGGCTCGACGGCGCGCTGCCGGCGCCCGTCGCGCAGGACAGCGACGCAGCGTCCAAGGCAGTGGTCGACGACGTGGCACCAAGGGCAATGTGCGTCGCCGTCGCGCGCGCCGGGTGACGAGGCACTCGAGGCAGGACTCGCCCCGCACGCGGGCGCCAGGGTCGAGGTCGAGATGGCGCTCGCCGACCTGCTGCCCAACGTTGAGATGCCAATGCCCGCCGCGTGGCTCCGCGGCGCAGTGTTCGGGACAGTGCTCGTCCCGCTCGTGGTCGTCAGGGTCGAGCTGGTGCTGTTCCTGGGCGCACTGTCCCGCGGTGCTCTGCGGGTGCTCGTCGCGGCGGTCAGCGACGCGGCAATTGCTCGCGGCCGCGCTCGCCCCACCCGCGCCGCAGCTCTCCCGCATACCGCGCGGCGTTAAGATGCTACTGCCCGTTGCGCAGCTCAGAAACGCGGCACTCGAGGCAGGGTTCGTCCTGGTCGCGGGCGTCGAGGTGGAGTTGGCGCCCACCGACGCGCAGCCCAAGGTTGGCACGCCAGCGCCGGCCGCAGCGCTCAGCGACGCGGCGTTTCAGACAGCATTCGTCCCGCGCTTGTGTTTCGGGGCCACTCTGCTGCTCCCCAGCGCGCTGCTCGACGTTTCGCTGCTGGCGCAGGCCGCGGTGCTCGCCGACGCGGCGCGCGAGGCGGCGCTCGCCCCGCCCGCGGGCGTCGGGGTCGAGCTGCTACTTTCCGACGCACCGCTCCACGCCGGGGTGCTACTAGCGCCCGTCGCGTTGCCCAGGAACGCGGCGCTCGAGGCAGCGCTCGCCCCGCTGACGCCCGTCAGGGTCAAGCTGGCGCTCGCCGACGCGCTGCTCGACGGTGCGCCGCTGGTCGCGGTCGCGCTGCCCGGGGGCGCGGTATCCGAGGTAGTTCCGACTTGTCCCGCTCATGGACGTCAGAGTCAAGTTGCGCCTCTCCAGCGCGGCGCTCAGCGTCGAGATGCCATGCGCGCCGTGGCGGTCCGCAAGGCGGTGCTCGGGGCGGCGCTCGCCCCCCCCTGGGCGTCGGGGCCGCGGCGTTGCTCTCAGGCGCGCCCGTCGAAGATGCGCTGTTAGGGCCCGTCGTGGCGGTCAGCGACGCGGCGCTTGAGATAGCAGTCGTTTCAGTATGTGGGGGTCGGAACGGTGCTCTCCGACGCGCTGCTCAACGTCTCGGCGCCAGTGCCCGTCGCGCTGCGCGGCGACGCGGTGCTCGAGGCAGTGCTCGCCCCGCTGGCGCAGGTCAGGGTCGAGCTGGTGCTCGCCGACGCGTTGCTCAAATGTGCGCTGGTCGCAACCGTCGTGGCGGCCAGCGACGCAGTGCTCAAGACAGTGTTCGTGCTTCTCGTGGGCGCCAGGATTCAGTTCCGAACGTGCTGCTCCGCGATGTGGCGTTCGATGCAGTAGTCGTCCCTCGCGCGGGCGTCAGTGCATAGCCGATGTTCCCGTCCGCGTTGCCCGGCAATTCGCGGCCAGTGCCCGTCGCGGTGGTGCCTTCGCGCCGCTCGTGGACGTCGAGGGTAGATTTGGCGCTGTCCGACGCGATGCTGACCAAGGTCGAGATGCCAGTGTGCGTCGCGTTGACTGGCGACGTCGCACTCGAGGAAGTACTCGCCCTACTCGAGAGCGTCAGGGTTGAGTTGCTGCTCTCCAGCGCGCTGCTCGACGTCGCAATGTCAGTGCCCCTCGCGGCGGTCAGCGACCTGATGATGAGGGCCGTGCCCTTCCCCCTCGTGGACGTCGGGGTCGAGGGACTTCCTTCCGACGCGCAGCTCAACGACGCGCCGTTCGAACCCGTGGTAGCGGTCAGCGACGCGGCACTCAACAGTATTCGCCCCGCAAATAGACGTCTGGATTGAGCTGGTGCTCGCCGCCGTGCTGCTAAACGTTGAGATGATGTTGCTCGTCATGTTCTTGGTGCCCGCTGTGGCCGAGAACGTAGCGCTCGAGGCGCCGCTCGTCTCTCCCGCGAGCATCGGGGCCAAGCAGCTGCTCGCCGACGCGCTGCTGCACGTCGAAGTGCTCGCGCCCATCATGTTGCTCAGCGACGCGGCATCCGAGGCTGCGCTCGTCTTTGGCGTGCATGTCCGGATGCGCTGCTGGTGCCGGTCACGGTGCTCGGCGACGCGGTACCTGACAGTGCTCGCCCCCTTCGTGGACGTCGGGGGCGAGCTGCTGATTCCCGACGCGTTGTCCATGGTCGAGATGCCCGTGGCCGTCGCGCTGCCGGGGGACGTGGTATTCGAGAGAGCGGTCACCCCACCAATGCACGTCACTGTCGGGCTGGTGCTATCCGGCGCTGCCTGGTCGTTCAGCTTAGCAACGTAGTGCTCGAGGTCGTGCTCGTCCCGCTGGCGGACGTCAGGGTCGGGTTCCTGCTCTCCGACGATCTGCTCAACGTCGGGATGCCAGCGACCGCGGTGCTCGACTCTGTCGCGCTGGGCAGAGTCGGGCACCTGGTGCCGTGCGTGGTGCGCCCGGACTTAGTGCTCATGAGTGCTCGTCGCAGTCGCGGGCGCGAGCTCTGGCCACGTGGCCGCGACCGCGATGGCGAGGGAGACCGGGCGCTTCCTCGCCCCAATCGGGTTTTGAATTTACGTGCTGGAGCGGTGCTCCGTGGAGCGAGGCCCAATAGTTTTAGTAGAAGAGCACGGGGCCAGGCCAGCAAATACCGTCGATCGCCCCGCGGTGCTGGGGAAAGCAAACCTGCTCCGCATATCACTCCCAGTGTCATGAGCGATCCTGGCACCCCATGTCGCGATTGCCTAGAGAGGGGGAGGGATTGATTCTGGTCCCCCATGCGTCCGGTGACGGTGCCGCCTTGGCCGCCCATGAGGTTCTTTACCTGGCTGGTGACCGTTGCCTCGGCGCTTTCCTGGATGCGCGGAGGAACGGGAACTGGGACTGGGCATGCGGGGTCGGACAGCGTTTGGGTCGTGGTGGACCTAGCGAGCTGCCGCGCGATGAGTGCCCCAGTGTCGTCGCCTGAGTTTTCGCTGGGCTCCACCCTGGTGGGGTCGGTGCTTTGGCCCTGGTGGGGCGTCAGTTTATGCCGCTAGCATGCGAGGTCTCATGATAGGACCTGCGAAGCGGAGGCGCGATCGGGACGCCCCAGTTTGGGCCGCCACTTCCGATAAGAGGGGCGGCGCCTTGGCCCTTGTGAGCGTCGGCCGAGGCCTTGTGCTCTGCTGGGTCACGGTTGGTGCCCGCCTTGCTCTTTCTCTGTTCAAAGTGGCGTAGCACGGTGTGGCTGATATCTTTCGCACAGTTTCACCAGCTCGCCCCTGAGCTGCATTGTCGGTATATGTTGTCAAAATCGCATTGGCGCTTGTAAGAAATTTCGTATTGTAAGCAACGAAAGTTCGGTTGTCACCATTGCTTGGAGTGCGGCGGCGCAGGCTTCCTTTTGGCTCAGATTGGTATCTCGCCGAAACGTTAAGGGGAAGGTTGTCTTTGAGCGGCCCTTGCCTGGTGGCTTAGGCTGCGGCGGTATATGAAGTGCACGGCGAGGGCTTGTTGGAACCAGTGTGGCGCGCACGGGAACATGTACTGGGATTTCACGTCACTCTGTGACGACCTCGGGCGTGTCCGGTCTCGCGAGGCGGGAAAGGATGCGGGTCGATTGGCGTTTGGGCTCGTTCCGAGCACAGGTCTCGAGCCGAGGCTGGCGGGGACGAGGCACGAGGAGCTTGGAGGGCGGGGGAGGCCTCCCAGGTGGCGCCCGCCACGGACATCGCGCCGTCGACCTCTGCGCCGCGCGCCGCCGCCCGGCTGGCGGAGGCGCACGGCGGGCCCACCGCGTCGTCGTTGTCGTCGTCGTCGTCCCGATCCGATCCGATCGGTCCCCCCCCACCCTTCCCCCCTCCCCCGCCTCTTCCCCCTCATTTCCCTTTTCGTGATGTTCCTCCCCCTTGTCCTCTTCTTCCTCCTCTTCCTTCCCCTCCTTCTCCTCCCCTTCTCATCCACCTCCTCCTCTTTCTCCTCTTCCCCCTCCTCTCCCCTCCTCTTCCTCCCCCTCCCCCTCCCCTCTCATTTTTCCCCCGGACGATTTGTCCCAGGGTCGAGCGACGGTGCCTCGGGCCCTCTCCCGACGGCTGCGCCGCGTGCAGCTGCTGCAGCTGGAGCTCCCTGAAAAACAACGCCCTCGCGGGGGGGGGGCGCTGTCGCCACGGGCGCGGTTCGGAGAGTGGGAAGATCCGGGGACCAGTTTTGAGCGGAGTTCGGCCCAGGGCAGGCCCTTCCTGCGCCTGATTTTGCAGGATGCTGCAGGGCCAGGGGCGCACTGACCTGGGCTTGGGCGCAGAATCCTGCAGGACCTTGCAGGATCCTGCAAAGCCTGACTGACCCGGGTCTGGATTGACCCTGGTCAGAAGATCCCCGACTCATGGCTCGGCCAGGAACCATGCGCGCCGATTCTGGGCCCAGGAGACGACCTTGCCATGACCATTGTGATGGTTGGCGCCTCCCGGTCCAGGGGCCAGGGATCAATCGGTCCAGGGAAGGAGACCTCCAGGGTAGAAGAGGCTCAGGCTTCCAGAGAAGAAGTGATCAAGAGGACCCAGTGGTGGGCTGAAGACAGTCTGCAGAGCAGGATGAGCATCAACAGATGTTCGACCGTAGGCTCAACAATCCACGCTGGACAACCATGTCTTTGCTCCAAACAGCTTGCTGAACCTGGTGCTGTTGTGGTCGTACGTCGTTCCAGTCGAGGGACACGCGTCCAGAGACATACATGCTCAAGAACATGTAGTGGTCCGGGCCGTTTTGCCTGAGACGTTCTCACAACTTTCGTTTCTGAATTGGCCAGGATTGGGCGTTTCCCTTTCGAAATCCTCGCAACTCTGGGCATGCGGATCTGTCGGTGTTCGAATTTGTGTGCCGCCAGACCCAGCTCATCGAGGAGCGGCACCACGAGGAGTCAGTGGCTGCCCAGGTGGCGACCGAGGATAAGAAGTCGGACAACGATAAGAACGCCGCTGGTGCGAGTGAGTCCTTGCTCGCTGCCGAAGTGGATCACAACATGGGGATGTCGGCGAGTAAGGGGAACCTCTGTATCACCCCTGCCCTCACCGAGTTCATCGTGGAGCAGCTGAAGGCGGAGGTTGCCGTGGCCAAGGAGAGGCGCAAAGCCCGCGAGGAGCGGGCGGTTCGCGCATAGTCCCTCGGAAGTTTCTCCCATGTGGGTGCAGGCGCTTCGGTGCCACCTGGGTGATCCCTACATTTTCGTGGCGGCCTCGACCTCCACCTCTTTTGTCCTCCTGGGGCTGGCCAGCGAGACTTCTTTCCTCTTCCTGCCCTGGTGGTAGATGCTCGTTCGGACGCCTGACAGCCCGTCGGGGACGACGGCGTGCTCAGCGCGGGGCTGCTTGTCGGCGATGTGCCAACAACGGTATCGTGGCTTTGAACTTGCGGAACGGCCACTCGTCAGTGCCCTCGGCCCCGCCAGGATTGACGGCGTCGGCGGCTCAGACGAGCGCGGTGGAGCACATTACCCAAACCTATCAATATTCCCCTCTTCCTCCTGATTATCATGAGGATCATCGCTCTGGCAAAGCAGCCCTCGGAAAGCTGCTTGCGTCGGCGCCTGGACATTCTGCCGACTCCCAGCGCGTCAAGCCCTACAGCAAGGACTTGGTGTCCTGGCCTGATTTGTCGACGGAGCCAGCTGATGTCATGGTTCTCGTTGACCAGGCGAGCGTGATATGTTGTCCGAATGGAGACGGACCGCGCTCAGAGGTGACATGCTTGTTTCGCGCCCGAGGGTGGCTTCAGTGCCGCAGCGGCCTTACGTCGACCCGATTTTGGCCAACAGCCCCGGGGCCTAAACTGGTTTTGTGGGGAAGTTGTTGCAGGGCGGCATGATCAGTTTCCGCGTGGCGCGGGCCGCTGATCCATGTAGTTTGGGATTTTCTTCGTTGGGGGAGCTGGCAATGGCACGCTCAGGCTCGTCCTCGATACGAGGGTGGCGAATGAAGAGTTCGAGCCGCCGCCAAAGACGACGCTTCCTTCGGCTGCCGTTTGGGCCGCCCTCGAGTCGGAACATCCAGCTGTGCTGGTTCAGGATGACATCCAGTGTGCCTTTTTACTACGTGCTCGTGCTCCAATGCATGGAAGAGTTTTCACGCTCCCGATTATTTCAAGCCGACTGCTGGGTGTCAAGCAAATCGAGGGGAAGCCGCTGGCCAGCGATAGCTACCTGCAGCCCATGGTGCGAGTGCTTCCCATAGGGGGTCGTTGTTGTTCTGCCAGAGCATTATGAGAAGGGCCCTGGTCGGGGACGGCTTCGGCGACGGCGGCTTGATCGAGGATGGTCGCCCAGCCCTGCGTTGCGTTCGCGGGGCTGCGTGGCTGCAGCTGGCTACGTCGACAACTTTGCCGTCGTCGGTGGCGACGCGGCCGTCGTCGCCGCCAGAAGGGGCCAGATCACGCGCGCATTGGAGTCGTGGGGGTTCCCCGCCCATTCGGTTGATGAGGCTCCATCCGTCTCCATCTCCACGGGCCTCGAGATCCACGGCAACCTCGGCACCGTGCGAGCGAAGCCTTCCAGCGTGATTGGGCTTCGGCAGGCGATCCTGGCGGTCTTGCGACGCGGGGCCGCGTCGCCTCGCATGCTCGAAGTCCTGCGGGGGCACATCGCTTGGGCAATGAAGCGCAGAAGAGAGACCCTCTCCATGTTGGAAAGAGCGTGTTCTACCGCTGCTGGCGGAAAACCTGGGGGGTCACTACCGGTTCGAAGCCCCCCCCCCCCCCCGGAAAACCGGGGGGGGCCACTGCCGGTTCGAACCCCTCCCCCCCCCCAGCTCATCATGAAAAGGGAAGGCGGGGGGGCCGCTGCCGGTTCGACCCCCCTCCCCCCTCGAGCTCGAAAACCAAGGGGGTCACTGCCGGTCCGAATCCCCCCCCGTCGAAAACCAATGGGGGGGTGCGGACAGCGGCGGGGGCGGCGGCGGTGGGGCGGCGGGGGCAGCGGCGAGGGGGCAGCGGGGCAGTGGCGGGGACAGTGGGACAGTGGTGGGGGCGGTAGTGGCGGGGACAATGGTGAGGACAATGGTGGGAACAGTGGGGACAGTGGGACAGTGGTGGGGGCGGTGGTGGTGGGAACAGCGGCGCGGGGACAGTGGGAACGTGGTGGACACAGTAAGACAGTGGAGGGTACAGTGGTGGTGGGGACAGTGGTGAAAGCGGTGGCGAGGACGGCGGTGGGACAATGGGACAGAGGTACAGTGGGGACAGTGGTAGGGACAGTGGGGACAGCGGTGGCAACAGTGGGACAGTTCAGTGGTTCGAACCGGCAGTGACCCCCCCCCTCCGGTTTTCGAAGGGGGGGGGTCGAACCGGCAGCGGCCCCCCCCGGCGTTCGAGTTCAGGGGGGGGCGGGGGGTTAGGGGAGGGGGGTTTTGCCGGGGGAGGGGGGGGGGGGGGGGGGGGGGGGAGGGGGAAGGGGGGGGAGGGGGTTCCAGCAGGGGGTGGATTTTCGGAGGAGGGGGGGGGGGGGCGGGTTCCGGAGGAAAAGGGCGGCAATTTTCCACAGTAAAGCGGCGGTGGATCACGCTCTCTCTCCCATCTTGTCATGGGTCTATGCCTTCAAGTCTCTGCTGGATCCTGGAGCGAGGCCCCTGTGGGCCTCGGTGAGGTTCGAGCTGCGGTGCGTCGCTAGCACGCTACCTCTCTGGACGTCGCACATGAACATTCCCTGGGGCACGCGCGTCTCGGCATCGGATGTCTCTCCCATCGGCATTGGGGCGCGCACGCGTTAGCTCGATGGGCCCCGCGTGGCCGAGATGGGGGGGCAGGCGGAGAGGTGGAGGTACTGGTGTGCTTCATCAGTTCCGGCACGGGCTAACGCGCCGGGCCTGGGCGGGCCCCTTCATCGACTCCGATCTCTTGGGAGCTGTCGTCTTGGACTCGGTCAAGTCGTCCGACCCCGAGGGCCCGAGGGCTTCGGCTTCGACGAGGGTTTTCTCGAGATCCTTGGGGGCATCATGCAGGCCTCGTCGTGGGCCACCATCATCTCTAGGAGGCAGTGGAATCCATCCAAGAACATTTTCGAGCATGGGGGCAATTCGCTGTGCGATGCTGCGCGGCGCACCTGTCACTGCATCACCACCGCATTCTCTCTCTCGTCGATGACCTACTTTGCTTCTCGCGGCAGGGAAGGGGCGGGGGCGGAAGCCCGCCCCCTTCAGCGGCCCTTGCGGAAACTGGCAGCTCTCGCACTCGCTGCCCACATTCTATGCCATGTGCGTTGGCTGCCGTCGGAGCTGAACGCGGCCGAGCGGCCCTCCACCGTGGCTTCTTCCACGGCCACGGCTTCGCGGAGGCTGTCGGGGTGCCAGACGACGACGCCCCCTTCTGTCAGTGACGGACAGAGCCGCTCAGGGGGTGGAGCGCCGTCGGCTTCTTGGAGATGTCGGCCGTCGCGGATGGGGCGAGAGGTCGGTGCCGTGGCCGCGCTCTGCGTCTCCTGGAGTGGCTGGCACGAGCACGACTTCCGCGCCGCCGGCCAGCTGGGCGTGGCTGACCGACCCAGCCCTGGACGGGCTAGACACGGCGACCTGCGGGATGGCGGCGGCGGCGCCCCAGCTTTTCTTGCCTCGTCTGTTGGGGGGCAAGCGGCCCCCCCCCCGAACAGTTCGAGCTCGGCGCAGCTCGTGCCGCCCCAGACGCGCCCACCGCTGCCGAGGTCGGCGGCGATGGCGGTGGCAGGGTGGATGACCTGGATGAACCTGCCCAGCATGGCAGTGTTCGTGGCGCCGGTCTTCCGCGCGTACCTGAGGCCGTCGGAGGCCCATCGGCTGCGCGCGGGTTCGCTGGTGCCGCCGATCGCGGGCTCGGGCTTCACATCTGGGGCCTCATCGTGAACGATGCGAGGTCGGGCCGTCCTGGCCAGGCGGCGGTGGCCGACGATTTGGCGCTTGTCGACGCCCCCGAGCTGCGGCCCGCGCTGCATGCGCCGACGCTCTCAACGCCCCCGCGGACGCGAGCCTCTGGAGTTCCAGGCCCGCCGACGCGCGCGTGAAGTTCGCCCCGGCGTTGCAGGAGCTGGGGCTGCAGAAGGGGCCCCCGTCCTTGCGCGCCCTCCGCCTCGGGGGGCACCTCGCGACTTGCTTTCGGGAGGGGGATGAATATGAGACAAGTCCCCAGGGCGGCGCGGCAAGCGGACTCGGATGCAGCAGCGGGCCAGGGACCTGCCGCCAGACGCGGCCGTCTTCGGGGGCCAGGTCTTCGGCAGGATGGCGGAGCTCATCGAGGCCCTGTCGGGCTCCTTCCCGCTGCCAGTGCCTCTCAAGGCGGCGTCTGCCGCTCCTCGGGTCGCGAAGCAGGCGCCTGTTCTTGCCGTGCGCTAGGGCTTCTCGACGCGCTCGTGCGCGCGCGCGCCCCGCCGTCGTCGGCTCGTTTTGCCGATGGTCTGGCCCCGCGGGGTCTCCATGAGCAAAGCGCTGCGCGGACGCGGTCTGGGTTGTCCCGGGCCTGGTGCAGGGCGGAGCGCGGGCCTCGGTCTGACCGAGCGGGTCGCCGTCGATCGATTTTTGGGTTGGATTCGATCGTCGGCGGTGCGCGCGCTGGCTTTCTTTGCCGCAGGGGTCCTGGATCGAGTCTGGGTTGCCTCCTGCTCGCGCTGTCTCGGACCCGCGGGGTCAGTCTGCCCGCGCGCCCTCGCTCGCCAAGCTGCCGCCTTTTCGGCGTGGCAACGTTGAGCTGCAAGCCGCCATCGGGATAATTCGTGCCTGCGTCGACCACTCAGTGCCCGTTTGCCTTGGGCATCTTAGGTCAAGCCTCATCTGGCCCTTTCTTGAGCTGAGAGCTTGGATGTGCCACCCGTCGTTTGATGAAGTCGATCTGGACCTTGTCAGTTTGGGTCCGCATCCCATTCGGCCGTGCGCATTTGCAGCTGGCGCTGTCCTCGGATCCAGCGTCTCAGGTCGTCGCGCGGCGCGCGCGGCATGATGCGTTCTTTCTCGGGCGGCCCCATTTGCAATTCGACGGCCGCGCGGTCAGAGGCGCAACGCGCAGACGCAGAGCTGTGCGTTCCCCCGTCAGAGCTGCCGAATTAGTCGCGGATTTCTTTTCTCGGTGCGATTGATAATTTGTCTCGGTGCAGATTTCATGGTCATGCTGGCCTTCGGCCATGAGATGATGTTACCCAATGTACGTCTATGCTGCCTGCGAGTGCACGCGTCCACTCGGGGAGCCGAGGCGTCGAATCCTGCCATCGCCACCGTCAGCTTCTCTAAACAGAATGTCATGGCCGCGGCGCCCCTCCCCTGCATCATCATCATCATCATCATCATCATCATCACCGGCATCATCATCATTGTCATCATCAGCATCACAAAAATCACCACCACAAGCACCATTTTCATAATCATCATCACCACCACCATCACCATCAGCAGCAGCATGACAGACACGATCATCATCGTCAGCATCATCATTGCAAGCAGCACCAGCACCATCACCATCATTGTCATCATCGTCATGCTCGCCATCACCACCATCACCACCAATCACCACCACCATCACCAATGCAATCATCAACCTCGGCATCATCATCGTCATCGTCGCGGTCATCTTTATAGCCATCATCATCATCGTACTCATCAGCATTATCATCATCATCATCCGCATCATCATCAGCATCACCGACACAACCATCGCCATCATGACCGCCAACCGCATCAGCATCAGCGTCATCATCATCACAAACACCACCATCACCATCACCACCGCCATCACCACCACCACCATCACCATCACAATCGTCAACAACATCATCGTCGTCATCATCATCGTCATGATCATCAGCACCATCACCACCATCACCACCACCATCTTCATCACCATCACCATCCATCACCACCACCATCACCATTACCACCACCATCATCATCATCAACAACATCATCAGTGTCGTCGTCATCATCACCGTCATGATCATCAACACTATTTTTAGCATGATCATCATCAGCATCACCATCACCATTATCAGCATCATCATCGTCATCATCACCACCGCCATCATCATCATCATCAGCATCATCATCAGGATCATCATTATCATCATCATCAGCAGCATCATCATCATCAGCAGCATCACCCACACCACCATCATCATTAGCATCAGCATCATCATCACAATCATCACCACCACCATCACCATCATTTTCACCATCAGCATCCCCATCTTCAGCACAACCACCATCACCATCACCTCCACCACCATAACCATCATCATCATCATCACCATGAACAACACCATGACCACCACCATCATCAACATCATCACCATCACCACCATCATCATCATCATCATCATCATCATCATCATCATCATCATCGTCATCATCATCATCATCAGCACCATCAGTATCATCATCACCGGCGTCATCATCAGCATCCACCATCACTTTCATCATCATCAGCATCACCATCACCATCACAATCATCACCACCATCACCACTGCCATTACCATCTTCATCATCATCACTACCACCAGCATCATCATCACCATCATCATCATCATGATCATCATCACCATCATCATCATCATCATCACCATCACGACCGCAATTACCATCACCATCACCATCACCATCACCATCACCATCACCACCACACCACCATCATCACCATCACCATCGTCGTCATCGTCGTCATCACCATCACCATCTCTTCGCCCCCTCGGGGCCGGCGCGCGGGCGAGGCACGCGCCGCCGCCGCTGGCTGCGCGTACGGCGCGTGCCGCGCCACTGCGGCCGCCGCCTTCGGCGGGTTCGTGGCTGCCGCAGGATGCCGGCCGCCCCCCGCGGCTCTCTTCGGGGGCAGCGTCAGGGGGGGGGCGCATCGGCCCTCAATCGCCCATTGATCGCCAACAGGGGCTCGGTAGCCCACCTTGTCCAGGACAGTGCGGGTTCGTTTTCGGACCTATCGCCGATCTATGGGTGATGTATCGCCGACTCAAGCTCGATGTTTCCCTCCCTGAGCAGGTCCCCTCCTAACGTCAGCTCTCGTCCAGAAGCACAGGGTGCATGACAGCCACGCCGCCTGGAGCAAAGGCCGTTTCACCTTCTGTGGGCTTTGCGGATGTTGGGCGGAGTCAAAGCCTCGCAAGTCGCTGTATTTGGTAGCAGCCCCCACGGCATATAACTGCGAAGCATTGGGGAGGCTGAGACAAGGCAAGCCCCCCAAGAAGAAATGCCTGGACTGGGGAGCACAGCCGATACCTTATGATACCTTCATCGTCTCATAATTAGCTGTTTCTCACCTACTCGGCAATCTCTTCGAAAGCTTGACTGGCAGTTGCCCACAGCAATTTACCCTGCGACGTACCCAACCCATCGTCACCAGGGGATGATATAAGGTGTGCCGACAATAATGTGACAGCAACACTGCAAGAGACGGTGCACGGCGAATATCTATGTCGTGCGAAGTGTGCGTAGCCGATTGGCAGAACAGAGGGACAAAAGGCCAGGAGGCACTGTACCGGGAAGGAGAAGCAATAGGAAAACATCGGGTTGGAAGAACAATCACATCGGCAGAAGCAGCGAGATGGTGGCGAGGTCTTTGGGGGATCTGCGTGGGATCCCACTGCGCTGGCCCCCCCAGCAGCCCTCGAAAGTGGGGAACAGCTTCACACTTCGCAGCTCCCCAGGGATGGCGAGGTTCCCGTTGGATCTGCGTGGGGCCCCACTGAGCTGGCCCCGCCCAGCAGCCTTCGAAAGCGGCGACAGCTTCACACTTCGCAGCCCTTCCAGGGATGGCGAGGTCCCGTTTGGGTCTGCGTGGGACCGCATTGGCGCCCCCAGCAGCCTTCGAAAGTGGCGACAGTTTTACACTTCGCAGCCCCCCAGGGATGGCAAGATCCCGTTTGGGTCTGCGTGGGACCCCACTGTGTTGGCCACCCTCAGCAGCCCTGAAGTGGCGACAGTTTCGCATTTCGCAGCCCCCCAGGGATGGCGAGAGAAGGGGTAAACCCGAAACCGCAGGAAGGTGTGATCCGAAATTTGGAGTAGTGAAGCTTGGACGCATGGGAGGTTGGAGGCGTTTGGGCCGGGAGAGACTGCGAGTTCCGTCGGGGGTGGTCGGTGCAGCGAGGACGGCACTGCCGCTGTTTTATAGTACTTTCTTTGTCCCCTTCTCGCGACCAGCGTCCCTCCTCCTGATTCCCTCCTCCCTTCTCGCTCCGCTCAGCTCC